CAGCAGCAGCAGTACTAGTGCTAGTAGTAGTCGTCGTCCTCGTAATAAGGATCTGCCAGGTGGTAGGGGCTGCAGTATTTCCTGTGACCTAGGCTTTGGCCTTGAGTATGAGACTAGGAGACTGGTTTAGGGTTCGGGACTTCGGGCCTTGAGGCCAAGTCTTGTGCTGGCTGATTTTTTCTTCTGCACTTTGCAGGGTCTCGTTCGCAAGATTGGGGCGCCGCCTGATGATGGTAAACTTCAAACACAGCAGAGGTCAGAGGTGGTTCGGAGGTGCTGCATGAGTCTGCCTGAGCATTGATGCCCTGGCTTGCCAAGTCGATCGCAGTCGTCCTTGCACATGCGCAAGCGATTTGTTTGCAACAGCTCGTCCAGCTATCGAGGATATAGCTTCAGGACATGTCTCCCTTGAAACACAGTACCACTTCCTTGACGACCACGTGAAACCTGTGCACACAGCAGTTGCAAACATCCCAGAAGTGGCAGAATCTCCACAAACACATCCAAGTAGGTCCAAGCATGTTGGGTGGAACCAGTGTTGGTGGTCTGCTTACAGACGAATTCTGGGCACAAGAAGCACGGCTGCACACGAAAGCGTGCTTGCTAGGGCCATAGTCCACATCGCATCTTCCACTTCTAAGGCCGCCCTTCAAACCAAGAGACTTGCTGCTGGGCTCGTGAACAAGCTGAGGACTGTGGCTTGGGGGTAAGACATGTAGACCAAACCCCGAGCCTAAGACTTGTGCACCGTGCCGTGACCTTGCAACCTATGACTGCTTGTATCCGACCGCCTGAGTGCGAGGGTCGGAGCGAAACAAAGTCTCGGAGCACCAGCTCTCTATGGCTAGACCCCAAACAGTGGAAGATCACCAAGGGGGTAAAGGTTTTGCTCCCGGCGCAGTCGGGTGCTGTTGGCGTCACTGGCAGGGCTACACTGTTCGCCTCTCGGTGCTCGGCTCGAGACCCTGCCCTTCTAAGAACATTGCCCTGTCTTCAGTCCCATGTCCGCCTCCCGAAAACAGCATTGGGAATATTCTCACCGAACCAGAGCGCGTGTTTCTAGACCCCGAACAAGGAGCCCATTACAGCCGTGAGCGCTGGAAATTCTGATTCTCGACTTCCTGAACCCCTCAAAGCAAGGGCCCCTGCACGGCGACGGGCAGCTCCGCCATGATTGCTAAACCTGAGGGCTCGGGTGAGGCCCCACAGTTGATTGTTTTAGGCTGACAGTTCCTGGTGTGGGACGGCACTTTCTGTCTGAAGTGGGATTTATTACACATCCGGGGTCAGGGCAGAAAGTGCTGGGGCCAGGACTTCCTTGCCTGACCAGTTGATGTGCTTAGGTTCAGAGAGCACCCAGCCTACAAACAGATCGATGTTCAGATCTGTGCTGCTGCTAGTGCAGTTGCATAGAACCAGTACTGAACAGATGTTCTGTGCAGATGCTGGCAGGTGTTGAGCGAATGACATCCACGACAGGGCCTCCACGGAAGGCAGCCCTCTACACAATCAAGAGAACATGCCTTCCACCAGCTGCACACGGCACAAGACCGATCTAAGGAGGCGGCTCTTGGCAGCAGACCAGCAGAGCAGGCAAATTTGAATCTCTACGCTGGCTTGAGCATCAAGATGAGGCAAGCAACCCTTTCTGCTGCAACATATCACACTCTTCCTCCAGCTTTAAGGAACAAGGACTCGCTTCCTAATTCACTGCACAACAGTCGGGGCCTCGTGCTGCTGATTCCCAACACTTCGAAGCCGACGACGCTTGACAACAAAGGCCGACATTTTGATGTGCCGTGACGCTGGCTTCAAAAGCTGCTTGCCTCAAAGCCACCACGCGGAATCTGCGTTCGCCATCACCGCTTGCTCTGAAGCAGTGAGGTTTTCCTGCGGTGGCATCGACAGGTATCTCTTGAGCTGTAAACGGAGCGAGGAATGAAGAGGGGAGGGACGGAGAGAAGGAGCATGAAGCGAAAGCAGGGGAAGGCCTATGCCAGAACTTGTGCTGGCAGTGGCTGACTGTGTGTCCGGCCATATGCCGATCAAAAAGGGCACGTTTCATTCAGAAAATGTCCACAGGTGGACCATGAGCTTTGAAAGAAAGTCGTCAACACCTCGCAGCAGGAAGAGATAGATGACCCAAGAACCATCAGGATTCCGTTAATCAGGTTGCCCACGGACATGCAGCATCCGCCCATACATCGACCGGAAGCCATCCAGCAGTGAGAACACCATCCTCCCGGTTGGATTGGTTCTTGGATCGGGGTTGGTTTTCCAGCTGTCAGCTTTCCCGTCGCATGTCTGCATACTTCATGTGCTTAGGACGGGGAAAGCTGCTACAGGTATGAGAATGTGTGCCTTTTCCGAAGCTTCGAGCTTCTCAGAGGCGCGGAATCATGTGATTAGGTGGAACTCTGCACCCTTATGACTCAGCAGTCTGAGCAGTGTTTACGACAAGTGGATGTTCACCAAGTGCATCATGCTCTCAGACATCCCCTGCGCCCTTGTTAGGAGGGGCCCGCCGACCTCCACAGCCCGGACATCGGCCCAGTTGGTGGCCAACGGCCCCGCAGCAATCCCCAAAGCCTGTTTCAGCGCCAGAGACGAGGGCTCTGGGAGTCAGGAGTCTTTAGTTGGCCGTGGGTAGAATTTGAGATCAGGGAATCGAGGCTACTCAAAAGGCCACGGAAGCACGGCGTCTGGGGTTTCCAAGATCCGGCTGCCTGAGTTCACCGAGGCAAAGATGGAGTGAATGCAGCGGCCCGCACTGGCAAAGGTCCGAGCGATGAAGGTGCCAATCCAGTGCACGGCCTTGCCCACAGCGGCACCACACTTTAACCAGCAGGATCCGACGGCGCTACCTGGTGGAGTCCGGGTTTTCAGGCAATTTGGGTGGAGTTCTACGGTGTCCAGAGTCCAGATTATCTTCAGCGCCGACCTCCACCCGCAGCCTGCAACAAGCGCCAACGAGCCTTCCCCTGGCGCTCTTCTTCCAAATCCAGGAGGAGAAGTGAAGCAGCCATCAATGCCATAGCCATGAAGCCAACCTTGACTTCGTTGACTACACTCGCACACAAGCACTGGAAGAACCCACACGTGCGACCTTCAGGTCGTAAGCGCCCAAGCTTGCACCCGAAGCATCGCGCCTAAAATCTTTCGCCACTTGGCTGACGGCCACAAAAGACAGGCTTTAACCTCGAAGGCCTGACCAGAACTGGCGGTCAAGTGGCAACCAGCGCCGGAATCACCCGTGGCTCTGCGGGGGTCCCCGAGTCGGGTTGGACCGAAGCAGCCGAGGTGTCGGGCGCCTGGAGATCAACTTTGGCGATTTCTGGAACAATCAAGGCTTAGGACATCTTGAGACCCTATGGCTGTGGGTGGATGGAGGCTTACAAGGCAGAAGTGCACTGGAAGTGAGATGAGCTGAGGAGGAGGACTTGACATGGTCGAAACTTCAGCAACCATCTGAAACGCCATAAGTTCAGAAACAAACATGGCACCTCGAGATCTGTGGCCACAAGAAATTCACAGTCCTGTCAATGCAACGCGCCCGGATGATTGTCGGGCACAAAACTTCGGAGTGCAGAGTGCAAAGCACTGGGATTGGCGTTCAGGTCTTGAGAGTGTCTTAATTTCAATCCTCATGTGTGAATTTTTTGTTGCGTGCTCTTTCGAGGATGACACGAGCTGGAGTAGGTCTAGAGTCTAGAGTCTGGCGAAAAATTAGGGCCGAGCATCCCACGCTCGAACGGCAAGTGTCTTCCGCTTGTTGACATGGCCCTATAAACTACCACAGGTGATCTGACGTCAGCAAATGGCTGCTCTAGGCGGCCCGAGGTGTCGTGCTTGCAAGAAACTGTCACCATCACGAAACACAACTTCCTTAGTACAAAGCCTTGTCACCCCGGCCACTCCTCCGTGGATGCCATCGTAGCCATGGCGAGTCTGCACACATCCGCTTGAGCAATGTGCCTACCAGGGGGTCCTGGCACTGCTTCAAAGAACAAAGCTAAATCAGCTACAGCCCAGGGCCACGAGTCGCGCATCCCACATTTCAACACATTGTTCGACAGCTTCCACCGACCACCGAGCGAGGGACTGCGACAGGCTTGTGATTCGAAAATTTCTGGCGCTTTTGAAAAAGGCTGCTCTTGGCAAATCATCGCAGTTGGAGACACAAAGCACATCCCTCACTCAAAGAACAGAGCAAGCCATAAAACACCCACGGACACAAGGCCACAGGCCCGGAAATGCACCCAAAGCAAGCTTAGCGACGATAGCTGGCTTTGCACGCCTTCTGCCGGGCTTCGACTGGGCATTTGCATATCTGCAGCCGACGGATGCAACGCCTCGGGAGAGCGACAAGTGCGAGAAACAGTTTTTTTTGTATTTAGTTGCGTCGCCCTGTCGCGGTAGTTGTGGCTGCAATCAAAATCTTCGACCACGTCGTGGTGATGTATTGGCAGCAGCAGCAGCAGCAGCAGTTGTAGTAGTAGTAGTAGTAGTAGTCGTCGTCATAACAGCAGTAGCAGAAGCAAAAAGTTGAAGCAGGCAGTAGGAGTCGGAGTAGCGGAGGAGTCGCAAGAGCAATACTCATTCCGCACACTGCGAGCGATACGGACTCTGTTTAGCGCGCTGACAGCCACCGTGATGATCTGGAGGGCGGTAGAAGTTTGACTAGTCATTAATCTCATCTGCAGACCTTGCGAAGTGGCGAAGGCAGATCAGGTAAGCAGGTTGATCGAGCTCACGGTCAATTCGCATGCATGGCTGCTCTTCTGTTGACCATTGCACGTCAGCAAAGCATGTTTGGCCCTGCGCAAGTCGGCTTGTCACCAAAAAGCAGTTGGCGTGCCACGACCGTGCGAGATGTGATTGTACTGCAACTAAGAAACATCCATACATGGGCAAATGCAGGCGGCTTGATAATGCCACTTTTCTATGCACCACTGCAGATGAAGCATATGGTTTCCAGTGCCAAAACATTTCCTGGTAGTATGTCCGTGTGTTGGTACCAACATACAAGAGGTAGCGTTCTGTCGCCCCAGTGGTGTAAAGTCGCGACACCGCGGGAACGCATGAAGTTGCACCAGGGCGTGTGAAGTCATACTAAAAACAGAGCTGCATCGCTTTCCCATGGCCACGCGCTTCTGTGGATTTCGTCGTGTTTTCTGTGTTGGTTTTCCCAACGTTTCCGTCTGTTTTCAACACAACAGTGGCTTGCCCCCACAATGTGTATCGTCTGGACTAAGAATGCCCTGGACCACTGAAACCTGCGTTCGAACTCGGGTTGAATTTTTTTCTTCCGCGGACCTTTTTCCCACAGGGACGCTCCAGCAGGCCGTACTTCAGCAAGTTTGTGCTCCATTAGGAAACGGCTAATCCCCACCCGGTTCTTCGGGCCGCATTTTGCTGCGCTTGTCCCTGCGCTGAGTACAAAAAGCCTTGAGCTTGGCACTGACAGTACCTTTAGTCAAAGAGTACTGGCCTCCACATTGGTGCAATACCAAAGCTGGCCTTTCAGAACCTAGTTGTGGGACTCATGGACTCCTGTGAACCTGGCTGGTCCATCGGCACCACACGGGGTAAGTGCACGGGCAGCAATGACTTTTCTGTTTTTGGAGTGGAGAAGCCGGAGACTACAAAGATTGCAGACCACATCAAGGCCTTGCCACTTCCACCCAAGGCGATTTGCAGCATCAGCGACATTGCCTTTGATAAGGTCGTTGAACCACTCATGCGTTGTTTGAGTGTGGCATAACCAATGTTAGCACCTGGGCGTTTCTTGCACAGCCGAAGCTCATCGCCAGTGCAATCGCGGTAGCTGCACTTTTTGCCTCTTTGCTGCGCTCATAGGCTTGAAAACAAGGATAGGCATCGGCACCTTTGCTAAACAGCATTTTCGCTGCTCTAATGCTGAGGAGCTCCAGAATGCTCTTGAATTGCACATCCTCAGCTTTCAAAACGCGCGCTTCCACATGATTTGCAAGCTTGCTGGCAAAGGTGTTGCAAAGCTTATCAGAGCATACCCCGCAGGGGCGGGTTGGGGGTTGGGGTTGAACCCAGGTTGTAACCCCGGGGGCCGGGTCCAATGAGGTTGTGGGTTCGGGTTAACCCCAACCCTAACCTCACGTTAGGGCTGGGGTTCAACCCCAACCTCAACCCCAGGTTCTGGGTTCGGGTTAACCCTCCTGAACCTGGGGTTAGGACCCCAACCCCAGCGCCCGCAGGTTAGGGTTGGGTTCCGAACCCAAACCCCGGTCTGCAGATTGGGGTTGAAGTTGCTCCGGATCCTAACTCCGGCCCACACGTTAGGGTTGGGTTAACCCGACCCCAACCTCGATCCGCAGGTTAGGGTTATAGGGTGAACCCGAAACCCAACCCCGATCCGCAGGTTAGGGTTGGTTAACCCGAACCCCAACCGCTGTCCGCAGGTTAGGGTCGAGGTAAACCCAACCCTGACCCCAACCAAGGGTCCGCGGGTTAGAGTTGAATTTGAACCTCAACACACAAGAAGAAGAAAGCCATACAAAAACGCGTCAGGGGCCCGCAAAGAAAATACATTGAATCACACATGAAACGTTTTTTCCGACAGACAAGAAGGCAACTCCCCGCTTTCTTCAGCCACGAAAACACGCCACAAAGGCTTCTTCCACATAAGAGGGCGAAAGCCACACTAAAACGCTTCAGGGGCGTAAAAGCGAAGAAAATATAGTGAATCATACAGGAAACGTCTTCTGGGACAGATAAGAAGGCAAGAGCCAGTACTTTCTTTGCGGAATGAAACAGCCAGAAAAAACAGCAAATGAAAACGAACAACGAACACGAGCGTTGTCTCCAACACTCAAGATGGGGAGCTGATCGAAATCGCTGTAAGGGAAAAACGAAGAAAACAGATATCCTTTTGGAAAGCTTGCAAATGGGGCGATTGCCAAGGTCTGAAGGGCAACGTGTCTCGCTTATGGGGCGGCAAGGGTGTGCAAGCTTCAACAACGTTGACAGAAAAAACACACAGCACATTACAGACACAGCAAAGAACCACAGACACAGGCAGGTGGCCAAAAAAGAAGTTGCAAACGTTGCATTGACAAAGTTTGCGGAAAAAATAGTTGCAATGGATTTGTAAAAACCTGATGTTTTGCAAAGAACTTTCGGAGTAGAAAGACCCGACAACTTTCACAGTGTTGATCTTGAGTTTAACTTGATTCAAGCGAATCGCAGTGACCTCCAAACGGCATGGCGGTAACAATGTCATCTCTTTCATTGCGTCTAATGGAGTCTTCTGCAATGTTTTGGTGTCCCTGGACTTCGCAGGCTCCGCCATGTTAAAAGCCAAATTGACTGCACCCTTGTAAACCTTACTAACCCTTCCACATAAATTCCAGAACCAAGGGAAAACAAAAACATTGATTATTCGATATGTTCGGGCGCAATAGGAAAAGCCCTCGAATATATAACATATCGGAGCGCATGTATATAAAATGCTCCTGTATATCACTGCACACACTCACGTTGACGAGTTTTTCCCAGCAGAGCAACGGGGTCGAACGTTAAAGGTGCGAGAGCCACGACATGTGGCCTTCGGAAAAGGTGGTTCAAGATTCCACACATGTGTTTGTGGTGACGATTCCGCTAAGCACCCGTTCACCCCCCCAGGGAAGGGCGGGCGGGAGACAAAAATTTGAACTCTGTGCTGCTTGAGTGGGGAGTTGCGTCGCACGTCAAAGCGATGATACCACTCAACGTTGCAAACAATGAGTTCAAAAGCGAAGTGTTCAAAAGTTACTTGAAAAGAGGATGGTTGTGGTTTTGTGGTTTCACAAAAACCGTGTTGAAAGCATGTACAGAAAACTTGGTTCCCGGTCGTCGCCATTTTGGGGGCCAGAGATTTCCCCCAAGTAAAACGACCTTGTAGTTTAGAGTGGAAAGAGTTATCCGCAAGCGGAAACGTACCTTCCACATAAACTCCAGAACCAAGGGAAAGCAAAAACATTGATTATTCGATATGTTCGGGCGCAATAGGAAAAGCCCTCGAATATATAACATATCGGAGCGCATGTATATAAAATGCTCCTGTATATCACTGCACACACTCATGTTGACGAGTTTTTCCCAGCAGAGCAACGGGGTCGAACGTTAAAGGTGCGAGAGCCACGACATGTGGCCTTCGGAAAAGGTGGTTCAAGATTCCACACATGTGTTTGCGGTGACGATTCCGCTAAGCACCCGTTCACCCCCTCAACAAGTGCTGCCAGGGAATCGTCTCTGGAAATTCCTCGGCTGCCTCAAGGCCTAGCGCATGCGCCACCTCGTCTCCTGTGCCCCGAGATGGGCTGTCTTTCATTTATTCATTCATTCATTCGCATCAACTGAGTCAGCTGTCATGCGGGCGTGTGTGAGCCAGTCACACCCCTCCTTCCAGGAGGGTTCGCCAGGAGGGAACTGTGTGAATAGCTCCGTCAACGAAGCAGTCACGTCAGAGGGTACAAAAACCGACTATTGTCTCGGCGTTCTCGCTCTTACTAGCCTAGAC